ATCCGGCATATTTTAGTAAAATGGCTCCCGTGATAAGTGTTGGGCTAACGTAAGCAGGGAAAATGAATGGTGACAATCTAGCTCCTTGGAGGACACCGAAAGTGGTGGTAGAGGGTATATGTATTTCTGTTCCGGCTATGAGTACTGAGTGGTCGCTCACTGCCAAGGGCGCCACGATCTGAACGTCAAACGCGTGTTGTTCACAACTTGTTAACGTCAAGTGTGGACAACATGAGATTAAGCGCTGCGTTATACTTGTTCGGTTACACATGTATGCACTGCTTCTCTTTCAAACGACGTCAAGGAATTCTGCTTTGACCTCACAACATTCGGACAGGAGTTGAACTTCAGACCAGTCTACACTAGGATAGTATAAATACACCCATGAGTAGTTACTTTGGGTTTGGCAGATACGGCAGCCAATCCTAAGTAAGGCTCAGGGGCTATGGTAACCTGTACTAATAGCAGTTCTTCGCGTCTGAACCGGATCGAGTACCACAGCCGATGGCACAGACCGTCATTGCTTTTGTTGGTTTTCATAAGTCTCCCACACAGAAGACCAAGGATAGAGCATGACTCCCTCGCGATTAGTCACAGAGCTCGATTTTCTGGGTGATAACCTCAGAATTCAGCCACGTCCCACTACTTCTGACCACTCGGATGCAATGAACCAACAGTTCATCACGCTTGTTTATAGGACTATCAACGTTGGTATAGACCATACGCGGACCGCAGTAGGAAGCACCGGACGTGTCTGATGTGAGCAGTCTGTTTCTCCTGCCTCGTCGAGTCTTGGAAACAGCCAAAAATTCCCGAAACGGTGATTTAGTTCCTATCACCATTACGTCTTCTCGGCTCATTGATAGCAGATTTGTGAAATTCTGGGTCCACCGGATCATGGTCTGGAAGAACATGAATCTTCTAGCCTTCCAGCCTATTTAGGCGAGACAAGATCAGCCTGGGACTGGCTTTGTCCATAATGGTCATTTTTATTGGCGAACTTTGTTGATCACCATTTATTCCAACACGATAAGTTCCCTCGTTTCCAACCGGTCCTCACCCACTTCGATTCTATGTAAACATGACGTCATGATCATAGCGCATTTGAGAATTTTGATCACCGAAATCGGGCGCGTGGGTGATCACGATGTCAAAACGCCTCCGATCGGCCAACATTGACCTTGCAGGGCGAGAACTTTCCGGGGCTTCATGTGATATGGCTCGCGGTTGATTTGCAGCTGATGAATTCTTTTCATATTTCTACCTTTTCCTTGTACTTTCCACGTGTCTTCAGTACACGGGCCATCGCACACTGGGACATCTGTGTCCGTAGGATACGATACAGATAAAATATTCATGTCAGGTGAAACTGCGCTGCCTGCAGCGGCGGGTCTTCGTGTCAGTGAGTTTGCACGGTACGACAGCGAAGCGTATTTGGAACTTGGAGGCGCTTCCAGCTAGCTTGTTAAGCCAACGCACTGAGTTCCTGGCAGCCGAATGATTCGGCCTGTATTTCTACTTGTGATTGATTCCACTTCAGGTTTTCCGGATGTATCTCGTTTCTGCCATTTTTGCACAAAATACAGACGAAATTATGTTGGATTTCACGAAAACGCTGAAAATGCTCAATCAAGAGTAAAATGCATAAAATGTAGAATTTAACGTGACAGATAACGCATGTGAGTGCATTTCTCGAGTTTCGACAACCTTGGAAGAGGCACCGCAAGGCGATCGTTTCGGCATTATGAATAATCCGAAGTCAAGCTGGCGACCAATTGTGGAGCGCTACTAGATGCAATGACCTCGCAGATAACACCAGTATTTAAAGTCAGAAAATTCAGAAGCAGAAATGAAACTGAATGATATCGCAAATTTCGCAGAATGACTAATGCACTGTTATCCAAAGTGTACTAAGATTGTAAACACAACTAGGAAAGAAATAACACATGTTGGAAGCCGTAACTGTTGCCAGTGAAATCCTGCGACAGAATACTGCATAGAACAGTTAGTTCAAATGTTATTGAACCTAAGAAGTTGCACAGTGTCATCTTACATCGAAACCAACTTCACATATGCGTATAGAAATCGTTCAGTTATCCTTGAATGCCCAGACAGTCAATCCGAATGAAGTTTAGTCACAATTGCCGGAAGTGTGTAAAGATCAGCCCAATGGAGGGCGGTTTCTGTCTCTGGATTTATTAGAAGCCAAGCATTTGCTACGCGCTGAGGATGCCACCTCGATTGGTCGTGTGATAACGGCCAGGCTCGGGGAAACAGTCAACATCCGAATTACCGCTTCGGTTTGTTCACTCATACTGTGAAAGCGTGTGCTTAAACGAACAAAATATGTCGGAAACATACGTTAGGGAACGAGCTCGTTTTCATTGGTTCATCATCAGACTGAATCACCACGAAAGTATGACCTAAAGGTACACAACAGATCAGGATATAAGTTTAGAGGCTAAGTTGATCTGAGTCACCAAGCTGGGTGATTGGTACCACAGCGAGCAAGAGTATGTGCCAGTTACTATCCACTCCTTGTCAGCCTTACAAAGGTTTGGGGTAGGGTGACTGCCCGGACAAATTTCTTATGCGCATATGGGTTGGGTCATGAAGTCGAATGGCGATCGCTTCAGTCATCGGTATTACGCGACGTCTAACCGCTCGTGTATGACACTTGGCTTCGCGGTGCATAGGATGGAACTCCTCGAAAACTTTGAGCTGGTGGTTAGAATCAACCAGATGCAAAGACACTGCGCTTACCACTGCTCTAGTCATCGCTTTACAGCCAAGCTCGACAATGCTCCCGGGCCCTGTCGAACAGTCACCTGGTAGTGTATTCGAGATATCTTGATCGACATGAACAAAAGAATGAATATAATCTTTGTGGTCTTGTTCTTAATTTGTTGAATCAGAATTGGTACTGAACTGAAGCTTAGCATTGTATTTACCGCGTATTAGGTTCGACCAATGGCATCCGAAACCTCTCTAGATGTGGATTTCGCCATCTTGTTCTCTTTGAATGGTAGCGACAAGTAGGCAGGTTTCTTTCCCACAAAACCAATTCTCTCGTTGTTCCTCGAGGCTCCATATTTCTCGGAAGGAAGATCTTCGGATAGCCATCTCTCTCGAAAAAGCTTCTGGAGTGTCATCTTTCATGCCATTTCGGTTGGGCATTGTAAGATTTTTACTTCTGGCTGTGTGGAATGGAACTGACAGCATGATATATTATCCATGCCACGTTGATATTTTATGCATAGTGAGTTGGACTGACCCGTCAGATATTCGGCTCATCTGCGTGTCTAGAACGACATTGATTTACTGCATTCAGATTCCATAGCGAATTTTTTATATTTAGTGTGCTGAGTTAAATCATCACCAACTTCTTCCGTACATAGGAGGATAATTGCGATGCGGAATATACCATCCGCATACCGTCCGTAATTGACTAAGTTGCTGACAGCTCCGTTCAGCTAGATGTTTTCAAATTTACTCATGAACACATCAACAAATATGGTCGTAGGGGTGAAACCACTGCGATTTCCTCCTACACTCTCTAGTTCTTTCCGTCAAACTGGAATTGTATGTTACTAGTACAATCCAAATTAACTGTGTAATTCGGTTGTTCGATAGGCCGACGTGTAGATGCTGCGATTGAACACTGTCGCATGGGTAGTCTATTGTCTGCTAAGAAACTGAAACTATCCCTGACACGGTACTTTGATAAGACATTCCTGACCGGTTCTAGAAGAATAGCGTGTCAATCGAATTCCTTTGTTAGTTGAAATCAGTTGAAACAAAATATGTAAGATTTGAGTTGTCTGCTTTTCGATACGAAATGCGTTAGAGATGTTCCGCGTTGTATAGTTTGAGTAAGACAAATTTAGTCTCAGAGCAATGAGCTTTCTTTCTTTCTCATACAATTTATGTTGTGGGAGATGAAAATATGCTAGCTGTTGTTAAAGTTTTGGATGAACAATTTCTACCATTCCCTTTTAGTGAAACAATTGCAACTGTGGCAATCAAAAGATGTTCTAGCTTACCTAGTGTTATTATCAAAAGGCATAATATGGATGACTGTGCATCGAATGTTTCTCGAAATTGCTATGCAGTTTCCTTGCGACACAGTAGCTGTGGTGTTTCCCACCTCTAGGTAATGTGTATAATTATGATGATGATGATGATGCAGTTTCCTCCTGCTTCTGCTACGAATCGCCTACAGTGTTGTTGATCATATGGGATACCTTACTTAGAGTTTGCTCCTGATTCCACCCCATGATTAGCAGTGTCGAAAGCTATTGCTAACATGTTGTCCATACTTTCTATACCAGCATTTCAATTGTTGGCGCCACTGGACTACTGTTGATTCCTGCTCACGTCTTTTGGGGCGTACGGTCTGCGTGATTGTGCCAGTCTAATAACGATATCTTTCGCATTTTTAAGGAAGAAGAATCACGTTCTTTCCATATATGAGACAATGCGTGCATGGCATGGGCCAATCGCACATGCATTTTACGTTTTCCTCTACTTCTGTTTTTCGATTGGAGTCAGAATAACATCTACACACCACTTGGTTTTGTCACGATTGCTTGTTTAACCACTCATCATATGATTCCTGGCAGTGTGTTGACCTCTTGTAAACAGTCACAGCATTCACCACAGTACCGTCTTTATTATTGCCTAGAATTTATCCCGAGGATGTGATGCTTTGATGGGGCTGTATGTGTTAGCCCAACAAACCGTCCACCATTTCAGGTGGGACAGGCATTCACCAAATGATCTTGCCTGAGGCAATAGTATAGGTAGGAATGAACGAACGGGTTGCGACTTTCATCAATACCACTAGACTTTACAAATGCAATTAACCATAACTAAGCATTGTGCTCACCGCATAAGTTCAATTCCTAACAGATTTGACTGCGAATAATGCAACCACAGTACCATTTTACTAATCGAACGAACCCACCTGCGCACTTTGCGCGTTTCATCCCGCACCACAGGAGGCTGCTTCATTCCACCTGGATACATGTGGTAACGGAAGACTGGACCGCGGTGAAGAATGTGATGTGCCGGAGCACAGACAGCTCCTTGGTATCGGTGGCAACTGGTCCATGCCTTGTTGCAATACGCACACATGTTTGGCTGACGTTGGGGCGACGTGCACTTATGGCGCGTGTTGCAATCACTGTGAATTTGCCCCTCGAGGGCAGTTATGTCGCTCCGCAGTAGACCAATGTGATCTGCCCGAATTCTGCACTGGGGCACAAGTAAGTCTGCACAGTTTATCTGATTACCCCTAGATACTGAGAGCAACGAATGGTACGCGCTATGCCTATATGCTTGACATGGGCTGTGGGTTTCTTTCCTGATCACAAGGATAAAGTCAAGTAGTAGAAGACTCCAACAGTTGAGCAGAGTACAAACTAAGTATAACTGGATGATATTGTCCGATGTTCTATTTTATTTTTTTATCCGTAAAATAGTGAGATGTATTAGAGACCTCGGCGGATATCCCAAGATCCCCGGGTTCAAATACAATGGACACTCTATCTGAGGAGTACATAAGTGCTAAACCTTTCATAGAGTGCAGTTTTGCGGGGGGTAACGCATACCTTAATAAGTGAATAACAGAAGCCTTTGAGAGAAACTAATATCAAGACAATAAAATAACTAGGCTAGATGGCAGAACTTCTGCACCGACTAACAGCGAATTTACAAAGGATTACGATGCACTTATCTGAAACGACTGTAGAGTAAGCAATTCCAATACACCTTCGCATCATTACATTAATATAGTTAGAGAAATTCCGTAATTTTGTATAATCAGTTAACGGCTACGTTGTACTGTCAAATTCATCACCCTTATCATTTACTATAGCTCATCTGGTAAGTTGCCTCATCCACTCCCTTCCATTTGAATTGCCTCCCCTCTGCTTGCGGGCGTTATCAATGCACTAACACTGATGTGGTTCATCTCTTTTACACTTATCCATCACAATGTTTTTGCTAATACTTTCCCTAACTGCGCACTGGGGTTTGTCATGAAGTGAGGAAATTCTCCTCTCCATCCTCTGGCATTTCATTGTACGCAGGCAAAGTTTCTCCCATGCGCGTATGCTTTTGCTCGATCATTTTTTTAACAGGCGGTCGCATAAAGTGGTTAATCTTGCCTCAATTTGTTTTTGTAGTTTACAATATTAGCTCCAGAACATAGTTAAATTCTCATCGATGCCCTATATTATTATTCACATTTGAAGAACAGCGAGTGTTTCATGATGATACTTTCTTGGTGCTGTTTTATGACCAAATATTTTAGCCTGAATGTCCAGCTGACATTTACCTGGAAAATGGATCTCCGTGCAATACGCATTCCACTCCGGTGCCTCAGTTGCAGCAACCGTACTTGCACACTGCGGATGAAGTCAGTGCACTATGTTACCAAGGCAGTTGTCCGACGCGTGAAGGTCAATGTAAATTTATATGGGGACCGAATTCTCGAAGAGCCGCAGAGTACTGCTTCATGCTACACAATACAAGAACCGCCGGTGCGTGTGGTGTTGTAGATGAAAATTGCCGAAACGAGTAGGTGCTTTAAGGCTCAATGCAATATAAAATGGTAAAGTATTTTAATCACTCAAATGCATGAACTTATCTGTCACATGTATATTTCCAACTGTCCGGACAGGAATGCTATGTGCGGATTGCTTCATTGTCAAGGTGGAGAGCACAGACCGGTGTCGAAGGAGGCTCAAATGGGCCAACCGTTTTTAACTTACACCGAGTATGGAGGTCAGCAGTTCGAATGCAAGTGAGCGATTCTTATCTGCTGTCAATCACAATAACGCTTGCTAATACTTAGGGCAATAGAGTGCCTAACGTAGTACGAGTTGCATAAATGAGGAGTCCTGGCAAGAAGTGTCTATTGTGAAGTACATCACAACAGTCTATTCGCTTTATTCCCCAAATGGTGTATAACTATGTGACCACCAATTGGTCTGAGTTAAACCACCCAACATTAATTTGATAAAATAATTTCCCTACTTCTTTTTACGTTTTCGAAGACATTTATCTCACGCTTCAAGTGTTCGGTTCGTCCCTGAGGGTGCTTCTTGCGCTGACAACCAATATTGTTTTCAACAGCAGTGCGTCCCACCTCACGTTGCTCTCCGCTCCAGGTGTCCAGCGGGTCCAGTGAGTCATCAGACCAATGATGGACGAACCTCTGTTCAGAACGTAACATGCTCCGGTAATGGGGTAGGTTTTTAGTTATACTTTTTATGGGTCAAGCGAACAGTTACTGTGCTTATGGTACATAATGTCGCATAACCAAGTCCAGTACCCTTCTGGTCTTTCTGCCCCTAGCTCTTCCTCCATCAGGTATGATTGATCTAAATAAATCCTCTACCACGGTAATGGTATCTAGTTTGTGCGAAAGTCTGACGCTGGTCTTCGGGGGCACTAGCTGTTTTTTGCTTGGACAGGATGCCGTATGGCATGATGAGTGGTTTGGACTATTTATGCGACAGTTTCACGCAGCCGCCTTTCAAATCTGTTGCTACTTCACCAAGCATCAGTTGCTTCCTGACCTCATGAAAAGCATCACTTTGGAACGGTTGAGGTGTCCACAATAACCTAGTTGCAGTTGACTGAATCTGCTCCCTTCGGTTTACATTCCTAGTTCACACATTTTACATGGAAATGTTGCATTTGAGATCTGTGTCAGACTTTTTCGCTGACAGTTAGTTGTCCTATTAAGTAGATCGTCATGAAACACATATTTTTATTCTCACAAGTGGTACACCTTGAGTATTGATTAATTTCCATTTAACCCATTTTCGTGGAATGATGTGGAAGTAACTTGCAATAAAATTGTAACGGTCACACTTTGCATAAACACCTTGAAAAACTTAGCACTATGTCTTCTTTCGTGCGATTTGACTGGAAACTTGTTGCTTGACCATTTCTGTGTTCATTGTATGCTAAGTTGCCCAAAGTCCAGGGGAAACAACAAGGTCAAATTAAACATTATTCAACATACCATAACCGGAAACATCGGCCTTTACGATCGGCGTGGGACAAGTTTCAAGCTGTTCTGCGGGATTTACTGCGTGGTATGTAGCTAGTGACATCAGATCGCTGCATATTTTACTAGTTTATGTAAATTATTTGTTTTCATCTAATACTTGAGGTAGCGATTCCCTGTTCTCGTTTATTCTTTGCAGTTGTGCACAAACAGTGGTCGATGTTTTTGTCGTCTAGGATGGGCTGGTGTGGCGTGCCAGCATCAATTGAGCGCTGCTCCAGGCCTATCTGACTCCAACACCTTGAATAGCGGAAAAGCTAATCCGGAACCTGATCCCGATATGGCCACTCGAATTTGGGCTTACAGGGAGTCGATGAAGACCAGCGAGACAAGTAACATTCTGCATAAAAGTAAGTAGAAAACAGTAGCTTGGTATTAATTTGATTGGGTCTTGACCCGACCTATGCGTGCAGAAGAAAATGATGCAGTCGTTGAAGCTGCCATGACCAACCACCGGACATAGCCAGCAAAATCGCGAGTCTTTACTCACGTACGAAAGCATTTGGTACTTTGATCACGTTAGTTGTGCAATCAATGGTTTCTCTTTCTTTTTCTACTAACGAATGAAACCTAACAGTGTACCCACACATGAAGAAGAAGATGTAATCTAAAACAATTGTTTGCATATACCTCATCGCTTTCTGTTACTCTCTCTGACAGACGATATATGGGCATATTACATGACTTATTTAAATTGTTATATAGTGATCGCCCGTATTATTTGTCTATCCCTTTGTAAGCACTAGGAAATTTAGAGTTTAGTATATAATGCAACTGCAACTTTCGCGACCTCTGTATGTCAGATGAGGGATGTTGCCATCCGCATATTTGCTGTAGAAAATCGTTTTTAATATTCTGGTCATAGGAATGGTACCGATTGTATCAACTTTGTTCAAATGTTGATCGTTATGTACCATCCTTCTTTCACTCAATCAGTTACCCTACGCGAGCGAAACCCCGTTTAACACAACTTTCATCCCAAGGATAAATCAGTGTACTTGCGGACACTCCGTTCAAGTAAATTTATAGCAAACCCTTGCCATGTTTGGTTTTCCAAGCATTTGCTGCATTGGTTGTCATCGAGTAGCTATTTTTCCGTACCCAGCAAGGAAAACTGCACATCCCTTGTCCGGTCGTCGATTTCACTTCTACCGAATATGTTTTTACTTAATTAACCATTCAAAGCAGACAATCATAAGTGGACTGTCGGATTTTTCTCTGGGTATTTTCACCCCATCAGACCTGAGTCACTTAACCTAACTGTTCTATGTACCGGTGCTCCTGAACATTAAAAAGGAAAAACAAAAATTATTCGGGGAAATATTACTTACATGCAAACAATTGGTTAGAATAAGAGGAAACTTGGAGATGCGTTTTTCACATATTAAGCGAACTACCGAAAAGTAGGTCGAGCAGTATAGCGGCAGAATAGAAACTTACCGAAAAATCGGAACAGCGGTCTGGTAGGATTAAGAATGCGAGTTCGACAAAATTTTGAAATAGTCATCAACAATTTGGCTTTTCAAGGTCGGCTTTATTCTGTTCACTTCGAAAGTGCCTAGGAAAACTAAGCCAATCACATGCCGAACAGCTCCGCGCATTCTGTTGCAAACGTACACAAGTGACAGAACTTGATTATGGTGGTTCCAATCACCTTCGGCGATATGTGCGTGCACCTAAGGTGAAAGTAGTTGCCTTAGACCAGCTTGACCGGCACACATCCAGCTTCTCGCTTATTTATCATTCAATCTAGACAGCACAAGTTCACTTCTGCTGAACTCTACTATTTGAGTATAGTAACGCCCGTTTGACTACCACTGACATAATACTGGTAATCCCTGATTTGCAGCATGCGCCCTCCCTAACTAATTTTCTTTCCTACACAGCATCGACCCCACTCGAAGAAAGCGAAATGACAACGCTGTATTTGGCGGCCATCCTGGGATCCGTGGTTGGAGGAATGTTTATCTTTCTTACGGTTTTTGTCCTTGTCTATCGGTGAGTGGGAACAGCAGGGGACATTGTGACCTAAGCACTAAATCTGCAATTATATTCATTATGAGCCGATAAGCGTTTCATTACACTGACGGACTAGTCATGTTTGCACTTTCTTTCTATGCATCCTTAACAGACACCGTGGAAGTTCACTTTTTATGAGAAAAACACGCCGTCCGCGTTGCTTTACATGGGACAGGAAGGCTGGAAATATCATGAAACTAGAAGAGTCTAGAGAAAATGGGTCACTTCGGCTTTACACTTCGCAAGCAGAACCCACCGAATTGCCTTACCCAACTCTATCACCCAACAGCAGGCGCCCTAACCGTAAGCGCTCCGGAGCTAACTATCATAGGGATGGATCATATTTCTCTCGTTGGGCACACGAACGTAGATGCCCCACTAGTCATCCATTTAAACATCAAAGAAAACGCGAGGAAGGATGCAGTGATCCAGTTGAATTCTCTCACGATCGTCATGGTAAGCGCAGAAGAAGATATTGTCGAATGAGTCGGAGTGATGGCGAACGTACTCGAGTTGGTCGGCATATTGCTAAGCAAACCGGGGACACCTTGGGCTACGGACAAGATGGACTTCACGATGCAAACGGGATGAATCATTCTGACACCGAACTCGCTATCCGTCAGCAACCATCCTTGGAAGAGGACAGGATCAGCATTGACAGGATCATTAAATTTGGCAGTATGCCGTCATACAAGTAAGCGGGTTCACACGCCTTAAATGTTCAGGCATCGGACTGCAATCCTGATCGTCGGCGCCGCATTCAACTCATTAACACACATAATTTCATCTTTAGTTTTCGTTCAACTGTGTTGTATCGAATTGTTTGTCGAAGTGGTTACGCGCCCTTATAGCCACTACTCACTTAGAAGTGGTCGGCTAATATTTCAGCATGAGCGGTAACTCGAACACTCGCCAAGTTGAATGAGCTGACAGCCATCTGGTGGACGCAGTCGTATATCGATCACCGTGAACAGAGTCAGCGCTATAAAAATATGTGCTATAGACTGGTACTTCATAAGGTAAACATATAAATATTGCAACTTAATTCCTCCTGTATCTGGCAGGTGGCGGTGAGGAATAGAGCATATCGATGCCTTTGAGGTAAGAATGTTGATATATCTTACATCAGTGGCCACCTAAGACTATTGTTCACGGATTTTAGAGCCCACTCGAGTTGGTTTTAACCTCATTTATTCTAACTGTAAACCTCTCTTACTGTGCAAGTAAATGCAGCTGTCGTGAGCCGCTAGCAATACGGCGTACTATCGATTTCACGAATCAGTTATGTCATCGGAGGTTATCAACGCAGTGGGCTGAAACTTAAGTGACTATTTGTGTTATCGAGTCAATTTTCTCAGAAGCACTGACACACTGAGCTATAACTCAACTGTGTGCCTCACATAATAACTTTGTATCGCAGGGAGATAAATGCGATGTGAAAAACTTGGTTAAGGTTTGTTTCCACCAATGGATTGTGTACCCCACCAAACGCAGGCATGTGAGCATTTGCTGTCCACTTTGAATTGCCGATTGGATAGCCGGACAAGCGTTACTGATGACGGTGTTTCCGATATGGGCCCAAGTTCGCTGTTGGAAGGTACTAGTAGTGGCTGAATTGCAGGGATAGATTCAAACATATCGGACAAACCGTACATTATTCGGCGGTGATGAAAATCTATCTGTTCCTATTTAGGTCGTCTGAACTGGACAACACTGGTCCAGGCAATAATTCGTGTAACGTATAAGGTAGTCGCATTGAATCAACAGGACTTGGTCGTTAAAGACTGCGAAATCAGTTAAGGAAAGCATCGACTAAGCTCTGATGGTATTTTCGTTGGAATAGTTTTGCCATTTGAAGGCCTTAAAATGATGTCAAATCAGTGTGACAAAGTTGTTTCCACCGTATATGTTACGACACAAGTAAAACATCGTGGTTTAGGCTACTCAAGGGAGCCTGCTTTTCGTTTGATAACTGCAATTTGTTATGTACACACTATATAGCGGTGCGCAGTATCTGGACCAAAGTTACCAATTCTTGTGCCTTCAAAAATGTTTGCTTCTTTTGGTTGAAGTCAGCAACAGCGATGCAAATGGAACACTTTACTTACAATGCTGGCATCTAAGAAACATGATGCCAGAAAGCCCTAACTTCGACGCAGATGTGTCAGAAGTTATATAGACGTTCCACACGATAATTGATTGAAATGTACCTCGAAGCTTCGACTTGTACTTGATTAAGTGGCAGCTTATATTGATTGTACTGTAGGTGAAAAGTAGGGTTGCCTTATTGCGTTGAGTGATAACGTCACCATCCTGAAATCGGGATATACAAGACGACGGTGACCTGACTGAAAAGCCATCGAGTCCAGCAACTCCATCTTCTACAACACTATGCAACCAACGGACTTGTAACGAAATGATATCTGTATTTACGTACTCTCTCCCTTGCATAAGGGCACTGAAGTCAGCAATTTTACTTGAAAGCAAGTGCATATTACAGAAGGCTATCAGTGCGACACGCGGTTTACTGATATAACAACTTCCGAGGCTGTATTGCCAATCAGCACGAAGTTCTCACTTGTTTCCAAACTGTTTATTGCCAATTTGTTTACAGAGGTCCCTGAAGTTGTAACTATTCGATAAGGCGTGGATTTTGTGCACTATCACTTAAAGTTTTCTAACGATCGGCGGAGCTAACGGACAAAGACCGTAGTTCATAAAAGCAAAATTCCCAAAAATATTCAAGTAAAACGTAAAATGTTCCGTCGATCGTGCAATGCAGTATTCCAACGATAAGAGCAGCGCCCAAGTTTGAACGCTACACCCGAGATATTTGGAATCCGACACTTTGTCGGATATAGCAACAATAGCATCAGCTCGATAATATTCCGTAACTCTCCTGCGCGTTCAATATTGCACAATGACGATTGCGCATTTTAGATAGTATCGTGCTGAAGCTTGTGATCCTGTTTAACACCTTTTGTTTCTCGACAGAATCGTATTGGTCTTTGCTGCTGTTGAGTGTAAGTTTTCTTGTCCCGTCATTTCACTTCCAGGGAAGATAAGCTGCGACATGGAAAACGGTCGGAAATCAGCACCTCCACCAGCGTTTCTTGCTCGAGAGTTGATTCCCCATTGACGAGTACCCAACCAGCGGTAGTAGCAACGGAAACCTCAGGTGTTTCCACGGAACTCTGCAACGGAGATAAGGTGTCGGCTAAGTCTCGTTTGTGTAACATAACAACAGCAACACCGATGCTGCCTCCGTTATTTCCTCCTATGATATCTACCTTCGGACCAACGGAAGGCGTGAGCTCCCAACACTGGAGTTCTCACTTGCCGGGGCAATCTCCGAGTGCCACAATTATGTGTGCGACCTCTGCTCTAGTCGAAGCTGGCAAAGCTGGTGCTACAGCGGCTGCTGTGTACTCCTCACCTACTTCAAATTTGTATCAGAAGGATCGGTTTGGCCATGTTAAGGATGCATTAGCGGACATGAACGACGTAAGTAAATTTATCTCATTCTTTCTGTGGATAAATAGTGTTGAATATCACCATGTGTGGTCACTCGTGCATAGACGCTTTCTTGCATCCTTGTAGAGCCAGTTCAGCATTCTCATGGAAAACTCATGGCGACAACCGGAAAAGGGCATTCTGAAGAACAAAAACGAGGGTGTGGGCGTCATTTCATCTCGCGCAGGTAATTCTGGCATGAAATGTGAGCACAATCACACTAATCCTGGGCATATGCACCACGGGGGTCGGCACCGATCACGTGGGCACCATCATAAGAGGTCCAGGTCTCAGAGTCAAAATGAAGTCGAACACAACTCCGAGGAGGATTGTTGTGGCAGCAAAGAATCACTGTGTTCTGAATGCTCGTGTGGTCTCTACAACGACCCCAGCGACCGATGTCGCTCGGTGCCAAGCACAGGGCGTCTCTATTCGCGTCGTCAGAGGCCGAGGACAAACTACCACAGCTCTCACTTGAGATCGAAGTCTGAGGAGGATGTACAACCCAGCGGGAGTTCTACGGGGTCAAATTCAAGTCAATCATCTACATCTTCCTCATTCTCTGCCCTGAACATCAACCAAGGCTTGTTAAGTTCCTCCAGTTCCACCACAAGTACGTGTTCAACTGCACTGGAAGTGGGTCCCGAAGGAACTACATCCAGAACACAACGAACGGATGACATGGTCGCCGATGTGGAAGGTCGTCCTCGAAGAAGGCTGAAAGACAACCATACGATGAGTTGGGACCGACGAGGAGAAGTAGAGAGGCGACTGAACCTGAAAACTTATTCTACCGCAGATGGACATGAGAGTGAAGTAGGTTCATTGTGTTTTGAACAATGGTAACTTCATTATCATTATGTTTGACATCAGCGAAAGGTGGCTAAAAGTCTGGTTAGCTACCAATTTCATAGTCAAAATACTATATTTCATAGTATCTTGGGATTAAAATACGCACAGATATACTGAGACGGGCGCACAACGTTAGTACAGCACTGGTCTGCCGTTTCTGAGCTCTGTGCGTTGACTGAGACTATGTTGATTAAGACATGCGTAAATTGCGACTAAGAAATTGCACATGTTTGGAGCCATGTTTAACTTTAATAAATCCAAGTCATCAGAAAGAATATTGCGTGGCTTGGAGGGATTGGCTTCCTATTGCTAAACATGTGGCTGGCGTCACTGTCTTATGCACGAGCAAACTCTTTCAAAAGCAGCCTACTGAGCACATTAAAACAACACAATTTTATTGAGTCCTGTAACCATTGTCGTTTACGTGCCCAGTATTAACATCAGAAAACTAAAAGCATTTGTACAAGATGGCATAAAACGATTTTGACTGCGGCCGGCGAAAGGAAGGGCATTGAACAGTTCTGTAATTGGAAGATTCAAATGAATGAAGCACAAGAAAGATCGTATAGTATCTAATATAAGCCCGTCCATAAGTCGACAGCGTAACTGCAGCATCAAATTTGTCCAGTAGTAAGTCCCTGCATTAGCCTACCCCAAAAATTAGCCAGGAGAAATGCAATTGTTTCTCCACGATTTTGACGTCAGCACTATCTGCTCGCACTTGAGTGAGTTCAAGTGAAACCTGCTCTACTACCGTTCAGCTGTAGCGACCGTAATGTGTTATAATGGCGGTTAGTGGGGCGTACGGCCGTCAGGACAAACTTTCACCACACCGGACAGTGTATTGACCAGCTGTCAAGTCATCTGAAGCAGGTCAGACAACCGACAATATGGGGTAAGTTGAGAGGGTGTGTCGCACAAACCGCCTCACATAGTCGGGGACCTCACCCATATGAACCACAGTAGAGCAGTGGGTGAGAGCAAAGTTCACGGGCAGGGGTGTGGGACGATGTTGTACTTTTAAGGCACCGGATCGTCTGGCATAAGATACTGTTTAAGGGCTTTTGATTCGCTACTGCTGCCCGTAGCGAACGTCAGATGTGTACTATACCGAGAATCTCCGATACAAAGTAACGTTTTCAGTTACAGGCACTTCAAATCCTCATCTGGAATACGATCCATCATTAGTCGTTGGTGCTAAGGGGTAGTGGTGGGCAATGAATGAATGGTTGGATATTGCACGTGACATTTGTTCGAATTCCGTATAGCCTATCTATAAGCAGACCCCCCCTACAGAAACGAAATATTGTCCAAAGATCATCGGCTTATATTCGGTAATATACGGTAGTTGACTGTGATGTTACTGAATCTTGGGATGTAGATTTTGACGTAAACGACATCACAACGCTGGATGATAACCGTTGGTCAGTTTGTTGTTTTGGGCTATTTCAGCATTTTCTGTTCTCACCGATACATCAAGGCGTATTCGTGTACTTTATTATTTAAGATGCAAAACGTTCTTTAGCTGTTAACCTAATAATGGGATGACATTTTACCGTTTTGCATCATTCGATTCAGGTTTATCTATGTGTGAGGTGTCATCGTACGACTCATGTTTTGTGGAAAATTGTCCTTCAAGTATATAACCAGTTTACTGGGCCCGGACAAAGAAAGGAGATAGCAGCGCGCAGATTACTTTAGAGTTACAAATTGGTAGAGAGGTGTTGCTAAAGCTAACAGACGAGTTTACGCCGTGTACACACAATATAATTTTTGGCACCGCTGAAACTCATATGACATGGGTGTGAAAACTGCTTGAGTTGAAACATAAGAATTCTGTATTAGTGCATGAATAACAACAACAACAGTACAACTCACTAACAATGCTACCTTAATCTACCTGAGTCTGGCTACCATGATCTTATTTGAATGTTGTCAATCAAAACCAAACTCCGTCTTGCGAACAAGCGCCTTCTTTTCGATAACTTCCGTCAGTCATTACATTGATAAGAAGCTGTAGATGAACTCAGTATGCTAGTGAAAGCAGCACTATGGTTACTACAGGTTATTTGAATATGATAAATCAACAAACATTAACGCTGATTCATTTCGGTCAAGTCTCGTGACGGGTGGTAGTGAGGTGAGGGTCACCCTGTTTGATTTCAGCGTCCAATGCGGGTGAATTGCCAGGGTCATGGTAATAGGATGGCTTGCACAAGGGCCTTCTGCTTACACAGTTCCGGTTGGTCCGCGCCTTAGTTCTGCTTCCACTAGCATACTGAGTTCATTTACAAATTGTTATAAATGTAATGTGGACGAAATTTATCGAAAAGAAAGCGCTTCTTCGTAAAATGGCTTTTTGATTTAACCATGGACATTTAAATGGTCTCAGTGTCCTCAACAGCTTTACTCTCAGTAACTGCCTTCCTCTTAGGAGGGGTCGCATTCGATCTGTGTTTTCCCTCTTGTTTAGCTTAAACTTCACCACTACCACCACCATCAACGTCATCGACGTTCTATACTGCAAAATGCTGCTTAAAATCGCAAACTGACACATAGACATCCCATGTTTATTCGCTTAAATTAATCCCTGTCGTGCAGCACAATCTCCATCTGGTTACCACTCCAACTATACCCCAATGCTTCCACGATGTCTGGTTATTCATGATTATTTTGTTTTAAACGTTTTGCCCAATTGACACTTGTCTTTTGTGGGTTGAACTAGAATCAACATTGTCATCATCGGAGCCGCCATCACTGTCGCCATCGACGCCATCGCCATCGCTTTGAACATCACGGGAAGCATCACAAACATCGACGACACGGGTCGAGAAACGAAGTTGTGTCCACATCAGGAGGATCAAAGACTGCAGTGACAATTTCGGAATCTTCTGGTTCGTCATCATTAGGGAATACGAATGGAGCAACTAGGCTATCCGGCACTTCTTCATCCTCATCAGGATTAGTGTCTGGACCGAGAACACACATGCACCGTCGTCATCGTCGTTTGCGCACGCGGCGGAGCACGGATGAAGACGCAACTACATCCGGTTCACGTGGAAGCCCTCTACATCCGGTCCCAACTATCCTTTGCAATGCGGGGCAACAAACAGACGAAATGAGTCTACTCAAGGCTACCGGGTTGACAATCTGCACCAAAGATGGTAAATGTCGCATAGCACTACCATACAACAGATTGCCAACTTAGTGTAAATCGTTGTGAGATGAGGAGTATCCCTCGTTTTTTCATTTTGCCATTGAAATCAGCGTATAGATATATCTACTGGTTCTCAGGAAAAGATTGAATGCAAGGCATGTTTACACAAACGAATGCACAACAGATACCCACCTGCGAATTCCCGCAGCACATGAATAACTCACGTTGATAACCGAGTGAAAACTGGCAGTTGGTTTTCAGAGTTTTGCGCAGTAAGTCATGTTCAGCGCAGCCCAACTTGTGAGTCATAGCCTGAGTGGGAGAAACCGATTCGATTTAACTGGAACCATGATGGCTAATATATATATATATATACCGTTTGTATTCAGGCTATTGCAAACATTGGATAAAAGGTAAAGAACATGCTGTTCAGTAAAACAAAGTAATTCCATCCTTTTTCATATAAATTCACCAATCGGTGCTGAGCTTTTACTTGAGTTACCTGACTCCATTGGAGAGGTGCGCCAACGCCGATCAGTGGAGCAGCTCATGACAAATAAACTTCGCGAAAATAATGACAACTCAAAATGCTACTCTACCACTATGGGCAGTGTCTTTAATTGATGCAGCACAATAGAATTTATCTTCCTCACTTATTTCTTTTCGAGGTCATTCATTTCACGCACTGATTGTATTGTTTTGTTTTTAACCTACATATCTTTGGCGATAAGCTTTATTTCCTAAGTTGTTTTCCATTACCATCATGGATATATATATATATATATAATCATTTCAAATCTGAAATGTTTACATGTGCACAAAAGTGCGGGCACTGATTCGCTTTGCATATCGGTTGATTACTAGGCAAACGTTTCACTAACAGAATAAGCTAATAATCAATGTTATCTCCAGAGGAATTTTTGTAATAACATTCAAGGTACATTACTCTGAATAGCCGCCACACAATAAAACTGCTCTGGGGAACAGTAATCCCGATGTAATGAAATCGTCCTGTTAGTGAATCGGGAGCATGGTTCATTCTAAGGGCGATCTAAATGAAATAGCAACCTGCCCGACTAAGAATTAAAATAGGGGAACTTCGTGCACACTATTCAGCGTTCATTAGCATTACAGACTGCCAATGAACTATATTGCGCCAAGTACTGGCTTTTGAATGGTAGAAAGGAAGAACCAGTGATTTACTGGTATCCATTCATCTATTAAATCACATTTGATTCCGCTTAGTCATCATGATTTGTACCAAAGTTTATTTGCTTGACTCTGCGACTGCACGAACTTGGTCTCACGTTGTTCGCTACTTGTTCCATACTAACGTGCCTCACGATCCTTTCACTAGACTCCTTGGGTGTTGAAAATGGCGCGAGACGAGTGTCAGCTAAAGAGGTTGAGGAGTCTGATGGAGAGTGGGAAGAAGTGGAGTGTAGCGAATCTGCCTGTGAAGAATGTCAAGCCAACGGTGGGACACAGGCGAGAAAAGGCCGATTACAATCGGGTCATCCAGGAACAGTTACTGCCGAGATCGATGTGATTGTAGGCCACACAAACCCAGCTTATATGCAAACAATCCGTTCAAGTGGAGGAGAAGCCAGCATATCAAACCAAAGCATCGCTGGTTATCAACAACAGTCAACCGCTTCGTCCTCCTTGAGCTCGTCGAAGAACTCACGAAATGGCACCCTCGCTTTGGCGTCTAATCCACAGTCGAGCTTTCCTGGTGTTACGGTTGCACAATCACCTCAAGGAAGCATTTCAGCACTAGGTCATTCAAAGGGAGGAGTAAAAAACCGGACAGCTTCTTCATCTTCTTGTTCCTCATCTTCTATGGCAGGTCAACCGCTGCTTCAACTGCCTCGAAATCAAAACAATCAAGGAAAACCTTCCAACTCAGGTACACATCATCCTCCTTGGAAAACTGTATCTTGTCTTAGAAATATTGCAGTATCAATAATAGACTCGCTAGTTCCCAAACCAAAGGAGCGTAATTTATCGTGTCTTTGATTGTGAAGCATACTAACCCTAGTTATTATACGAAGTGACTTCCAAGCGTGTGGATGCTCCGCGTAACCTTGCTTCACCTCGAAAATCAAGCAGATCCCAACGCAAAGTCTTAACTGGTTGTCACGATTTTCCAGATGGTTGTATACTGATGGCACTTCAAATTCTGACTCGGTGATAATGCGATACGGTGGGTTGGAAGGATCGGCTTGTTTATAGCATGCATGTTGTTCATTGAAGAACAGTTTTATGTAGGATCTCCTGTTGTGTACATAACTATGGAAAACGTTTATCGATTTTTAGAGCCAAGTGTACATACCACAGAGTATTCGCTAGGGTTTATGAGAATTTAGTGTACGAGGAAAATGCGGTTTTTATAGATTCTTATTGTCAGTATACACTGCGTTCAGTGTTTCAAAGGTTCCAGTTTTCAGTGCCTAAAGTCTAGCTTGTGTCAGCTCAGCGGACAGTCGACTACTTTGGCTTATTCAAGCTGTGCAGGAAACCTCCACCAATTGAGACCTTAATCCGAACTGAAGTAATTTGTGCATAGTTTGCGGGCAGTGTGGAAAGAGAATCTCGTAAACTTGGATGTACTTAGTAGGCTGATCGCGTTACAGCTCCACGTCACTTCAAGTGTTGCATGAAACGGTCCCCAGTGGCCCACCTTATGACGGCATCACACACACACCTCTGTCAGTGTTGGATGTAAGGTGATCCGATGTTTACTCTCTGTCCCGGACCCGTCAGCCGACGCTCCTCAGAATGGTCAGTTCGAGAGCTCCACCTCTTCCATTCTGATCACGCAGCTGTTGAGCTTTATGATCTTAGTCATCTTAGCGGTCAGTCTTTGGTTTGTTTCTCGCAAGCCCCTCTTAATGATTTCAACATTATCCAAGTCACTCTCGTAACCTGTATCCATCGCGTGCATCGCTACTGCCGAATTCCTTAATAGATCCGTGTATTCAAACTCATTTCTCGATGAACATGCTATGCTCCTCGTGTGTTCTGCTAACCTCGTGTTTCCTTCTCTTGTGGTTTGGCTTATCTACATGTGGGCGCACTTTAATGTTGTAAACGCAGTTAGTAGTTCTGTTTGCTAGAAGTGGGTTCTTCATATGCACCTGTGTTGAACGGATCGTTTGGCCCTTCTGGAATGTTACCGTTATCTTTTCCATGTTTATTATCCTCCGGATAACCTCCGATATTCCTTCCCTTTAATAAATTCTTATTGTTCCAGTTCACTCCGTACTATACTGTGAACGCGGATTTAATAGCCTCGTCAATTGACGTTTCACTAACCATCCACTGGTTCACTTTGCCTGACGAAACGTTTGTGTCAAAGGCGAAACATTGTCCACAGGCTATACCAAGGACTTGCTTTCAAACCATTCCGAAATCATGATTTCTCAATCAGTTCCAAGCATTTTTCAAGAGGTTAATGTGGAAATACAATATTAGACCTTGACGATGTATGCGGTACTTGGTTTTACCAAACAACACAGTTGTCCATATAGTTTTGAAATGAACAGCAAGCGCTAACCAATTTTATTTGTTTGCTTTCAAATGGTCACTAGTAGAGGAATTCAGTGCAGTGTTAACGCCCTTCATGCATGTGTAATATTCCTCCGGTCCGGCATTCCAAGCTCCTCCGTGTAAAAATGTATGATGGACCGTAATAGACTCTTAGAACTGTAACACAAAATAAAAACCTCGTTGACGGATGGATGCTCAACCGCCTAGTAAGAGACCGATGTAAGGAAGCACAGAAGAGGGAAGGAAAAGTGCCGGAGAGAAATAAGAGGATAACAGGAAACAAAACCGATCGACCTCTTACCTGTTAACGTGTTACCGTGATGCCCGCGTCCCGCTACACATACAAAACGCACCATAGCTTTCTAGAAATAAGGTGTCAACGGCGAAGTGCGACTTGTCGGTGCACTCAGGTGGAGGTAACATGGTCAGCAATAATGTCATTAATTGGGTTCTCTCAATAAAATTTTTATGATGCTCAGAGCCTCCAAGTCAAATGGAGTGGATAGTTCAGCAAGTGGAAAAGAGGTGCTCGTCAAAAACGCTTAAAATCGAAATGTGTGACATCTGTGAAAAGAAAGCACCACTAGGGTGGTCGTGTTCACCAGACTGAAAATCCGCTTTTTGTTGGTCAGAGCACTTTCACTGTGCCATAGGATTGAAAAGTAATATGGTTAACCATGAATTGCAAACAGTACTGGCAGTTTTAATTCCCCAACGAGGCATTGCAAAATGAAACATAGAGCTGGAGAGTTTGGTACTGTGTTTAACTCATCGGGTTCGAATGAAGACAACTAGTAAAAATCTTTATATATTCTAGTATATTCCAATACATGTGTTAAACATTCCCTATTCAGAGTTTATTTAATACCTCCTCCTGTCACTCATTATATTCTTGGTAAACGAACTAGAACAAGTTATTTTATGTATATTTTGAGTATTTTATAAAGCCAGCTCATCTACACCACTTCACACTTTTTGGCCACTTCCAAATGTTTTCCTCAACAGAAAATTTCCTTATCCTTAGACGAGTTCACCAACCAGAACAGTGAAACAGAGGTCGACGCCCATCTGCATACACATCTGTCTGGAGTCACTCGTTCGACAGGTCCATTCTACTCTCCGGTCGCTTTGTATCCTCCTGGAATTTCGCCTCTCACGGGCGGATACCCACTGGCTTCACAAAGCTGCATGTCACGCCCTTTGAGGCGTGATACCGTGTCCCCAGTCATGAACACAGTTTTGAATCCAAGACTCCATGGATCGCCATGTAATCGATCGCACCTCCATCACGTCATCGCTGAGAAGGAGCAGATCCAAGGTATGATATGTGGGAGAGGTAATTGAGTAGATTTAGGTTTTTAACCATACTTTGATCAACCACTTTACTGAGCAGTACAGTTGCATGGACATGCGAGAAGTGAAGTAGTTACTCTGAGTTAGTTACGATGTGGCCCGTGCTTTATCATGGAGAGAGTGAAGTTTTATCCATTACATTCCACCAGCCACCCTTGTTTACCGTTTTAATTTTTATCCCTAGTCGACAACAGAGAAACTTACTATCAGCATCCATACGAGGATGTGGCTACAGACGAGTACGCAGAAGCATCCAATGGGCGAGCACTTCAGCCGTCTCAGCAACACATTTATCATCAACATGGCCTCCTAAATGACGGTGTACCCACCGATTCCAACGGATGTATCTATTCAAAGGGTGAGGAAGATGATGATGAGCTGCTGAGTCTGGACGAAGGGCACCCAGGTGGTGGTGCCAACAATGGAGTGAGGGAGTTTTTCAGAAGCTATGCGTCACATGGAAACTGCCCTCGAACAAACGATCTCCGAGTAAGGTCACACCACCCATCGTGGCCCGTTACGACAGAAGAGGGACGGTACAAGTTAGACGATACAATGCCCGGAGGCTTTATGCTACCAATCCAGTCGGGTCCACGAGGCTTTCTAAACCAAGTGAGTTGGGGACCGTGAGTTGGGTATCCATGCAGAAGTACTCTTCGTTTGAGACTTTCAGGATGCTAAATATCTGTTTGTTCTAATGAGAGAAGTCAATACCCAACTATGTTAACAGACGCTAGATACGATCTAAATTTGAAGCAGTTGTCAATGAGCAACCATACTCTTGGATATCGAGGATCAAAAGTTGTTTGGTGCAGGACAACTCGTAACCTAGCTAAATCATTAGGTGTTACGAACTTCACATTCCATTCGTTTAACAGGAAAAGCGTCTCTTGGGAAGTGGTTTCATGTGGAGTTCACCCCATCGTTTAGTGCAACTGAGCTACCATGGTAAGAAGTGAAAAGCATGTATTGTGTGCAATCTCGTGCCGGAGTGGATGGGAATTCTAGGAGAAGTGTGAATACGCCAGTTGTATAAGGAGGAAGCGCAGTCCTCAGAAATATCGATGAAATCACCACATTATACTTACTATGATGGAGCGTATATGCTAAATTGCTTAAATGCAACATTTGTGGCGGATTGCAAACCAGGGTTTAATAATGCATGCAGATGCTTGCTCATTGATAAATGAGATGATATCATTTAATTCACCCTACTAGAAAACAATTTCTACTGTAACTATGAGACAATTCTCTTATTGCAGCAGCCTGATTCCCTCGATCACCGCAACGACGGGACCAGATTGATCAGTGACGGTGACGACGCCGGCAGTGAATTTAGCATCTCCGCGTTCCGACGGGACGACATTCGAATCCCCACCCACAATCGATCATCTGATGGATTTGGTCTACGTAGTCTCGCACTTTCCCATCACTCCCGGCACACTGGGGAGGCGCGCACTGCGAGTTCCAGTGAGTTCGGCACTGAGGTACGTAGCACCGATGGTACATGCGATGAATCGGATGCAAGTTCGTTACCTGAGGCCGGATGTGACCTGGTACAACTGGCTCAGTTGGAAATATCCGGTCGACCGAACCCACTTCTGAACGATTTGGCCAGACAGCAAGTAGGTTTTGTGTACAATCGCCTTAGTACTCTGATATGTTTTAACGCAACAGTTGCGGTTGCGCTTTTAGCAAAATTTGCTGTGGTCGATTGAGCAGTACTTGATACATAGCACTCAAACACGACATTGCCATTAGGGTGGAGGCTCGTCTGAATTTGGCGATAATAACGGTCTCCCCATGCATAAGCACCGTAAAGGTTTAATTAGAAATAACTGCATTCTTGCTCAGAAACTGCGCGTGTCGGTTATTCCTAAGCTGTTGGCGAGGGGTGCATTTTTCACTTTGTGTAAAATCGTTTGACACGACGTACAAGTATTTGATTTAGATCGGCGAATCAATAATGAGAATAGGATGGCAAAGCATGGCTTAATTGTTGGAGGTGGGTTTGACGCTTTCAACTAATGAGCCTCAAGCTTCAAACTATGTAGCCTGGTTTGTCCTCACACCAACACAGCACTTGAGTCGGAAAATTGGTGTCTCATCAGTTGTTCCCTAAAGTGAGGGTGTACTCTGAATAATTCGTCGGTGTTATACATCATTTTTTATCTTGAAACCCCAGCGGAATTTTGGGGTGGAGGTACTGTTACCGAAACTGGCAATATGAGTTTCTTACGATGTAGACATGACTAGGATCCAATCAGCAGGTTGAATGCGACGGGATTCGGTAGCGCTTATCAAATAGGTTGCATAGGAGATAGCAGGGGCTTGAGGACTGCGCGGTTAATCAGATTCAAAAACAACGTGACAGTGGCCCTGAGCATTAGCAAAATAAGTTGCTTCTATCTTCACACATGATAATGTTGTAATTTACAGGTTGAAATGAATGCCGGAAATATTTGCGAGCATTCGGACAGTGTGGTCATGAGCTCAAGAACAGTCCAATGACCACAAGTGTTAGGTTATTAAAATTAAAGCTGCAGGTCGACGAACTGGGTGTAGAGTTTATAAAGAAATCCTTGCTTGATATTCTAGTGCGTATAGAAGGGAATCGAGACTCACCGGGTTGCCTTCCCAATGGTTAGGGGAAATGCGAACAACAACATGGGATCTCGTTACGATTCATTCAGATGCCGCGGAAGAGCACTCCTTCCAAAAGATCATACAGGTGAAGTGCAATCTATTTAATGAATCGCTCATTGCTCTACGCACTATACCTGTAGTCAATGTGATATATCATGTTTCAGTCTTGTTAGAGGTTCATCCTGACGTGACTTCACCTGTATGATGCATTCGACTTTATCACCATTCCTATGTCTCGTCAGTGTTAAACCTTCGATTCCCCGTTAATGTGTATATAGATAGGAACGGTCTCTGATAGGGCCAGTTGATGGTTACTTATCAGTGCTTTAGGTTGCTGCTATGGTTATGGTACACTTTGTCCGTTCAGAACTTACCCAAATCCAAGGTTTCCTTTTGTTTGCTGGGTCTGTAACCTGGCAAATTATACTTTCGATGGATGCTGTTTGTGGTCAGTGTTTGGTTGAAGGAAAGCGTTGAGACCACAGACGCATGAAAGTTGACGTGCGATGGAAGTGAAATACAGTGCATTGCGGTGTACGAAATTTGCAATGTGATGGCCGACTCTTTTGGGCTGACCGATATTTGGGAATGACTCACGAATACCAGTGGTCCATAACAAATTAAAGAACGGCGTATGGTTAGACCGGATGATAATCAGTTCCTGGTGGATACTTTACACCCCACATGTGGGTCTGTTACTTAATGTCTCAGAGTGCTGAGGAACTAGAAACCTTGACAGAGCTCTCCATCGCTCTCAGTAGTACGAATGATTAGACTTGTCGCATTCAGCATTTGAACGATATATCCAGTCTCAAGTATGAGGAGGGAGCAAATGGGTTCGCATGCAGATAGGGTACAGCCCGGCCGAATCGCTGTGAGCACTTATTACATCTTACATTAACTTGTTATGTTCTTTCGATCAATAATCCGATTTTTTCTATAACAGGCCTCTTCGCGTCGCTGGTTGTCACCAACGTTAAGTGAGAGTAAGCAGCCCAGGATTCCACAATCAAGCTTATACGAACCCGGTATGGGATACTCGTCTTGCCAACCCTACGTGAGAACCGAGAAACAGCCTCCTTCACTGCCGCAATCGAAGACCGTTAATCGCTGATACTTCTCCAATAGATGGAACAATTAAATCTCCTGCAGACTGGGCGGAGCTGGGATGGCTGCACCGCTGATATATGGTTCGGTCAGCCTTGGTGCTCAAATTGCGACATGTCAGTGATCAATGAATCAGTTCCGAATTGAGCAGGATTCAATCCTTTCTCCCAAATGTATAAAGTTCTTATTCCCCTCACTTTTTTGAATTCTGCGACCGATCACTGAAAATATTTAAAGCTTTTAAATGGGGCTGACCCTTTGCTGCATTTCTGCCACATAGATCATATTCGAATCACCTACGAATTGCACAATCTATCACAGATATTTCTTCACTTACACAAGACAATCACAAGGCAGGAATATTTGCACTATCTTCCAATTTGAATATGCAACAGTTAAAAACTACTCTCATTTCTAACATATGCCAGTGTAAATACAACAGATGTGGGTTTTGAAGTGAGCACAACTTGGTCACTACTTTCTGGTTGCAGAATAACGTCATACGTTGGGTGTTTTTAAAAGGGACTTCCAATTCACCATTATTGAAATTCTGAATTCAACGTCGTGCTCACGATCCCGATTGTTTAATAGATGACCGCTACCAAATAAAGGACCCGATTAAGTCTGACTCGTTTATCTAAGAATCAGACGGATGTCTAGTGTGCACCGTAAGCATTGTGCCATGGGCTCAACTCACTTTTGGTTGTAACCGCAGGATGTATCTAGTTTTCAGTGCGCTGAAACACCGAGTAGTTTTTGTATGTCAATTATTGGATTTTTGCTAACCTTAATCTTGTCCAGTTCATTGTCTATACCATTTTTCAATTGCTTACCTCCGTAGGGCTTTCATCCGTAATATTGCAGCATACATCCTTAGCTCAAAATCTATTATCCCATAGTGACGAAAATTGCGTCCAGGTCGCCCTCGGTGCATCAGCTATCCGCTCGCCTCAAATATGCGTCTCGCTTACTCATTCAAGCGATCTGCTCTTCTAGGTACGCAACTGCATCGTACAGTAAGGGGTGGAATCAGATGTATGCAAACGAACTGGCTCCGTACCCCAAATTCTGGGATGTATAGGTTAGGCGAAATCCGCACAGTTCCGGCCGAAGGACTGTACCGAGACACGATCGCGATACCTGGCTTGCTCGAGCGTGCTGTGAATGGAGTCAAAACGGCTTCGCAAAGAGGGCTAGAGTGAACAAATGAGATGTCAGTTTGAGGCGAGCAGACAGCTAATTCACTGAGGTCGACGTGGACGCAATTTTCGTGACTATCGGATTAGTCCTTGCGCTAATGGTGCAGGCTGCTACACTACGGACAAAAGCCATTGCGTTAACAATGCATTCGATTAAGAAATAGTATATTGTTGTGTTTTACTTCTTTAATATCAATATTCTAGGGATCACTATGGGTGGGCCCGAGTAAGGGGAGCCTACCCATTACAGCCACGCATGCAATAAGTGCTAAACGATTGGAGGGTCGTTTTGAAGTACACGCGACGCGCATCGCGACGCTCAATCTCAATAAAAACCGCGCCTCGTATTGAAGTGAATCTTGGTCATTTCCATCAGTATGGACCGCAGCTGATGATTCAGAAGGTAACTGGGTGTTGCCCTACCGAAAACACCGCGAACCAGTGCAGCGTTTTCGGGCGGACAACATTCAAACTCTTTCTACAAAATAGTTAACGAGCTAAAACAGCGTCGCACATGTGAATTTGTTGGGTTTACACGGTCGTGGCGCTTGAACTGTTCCATCAGCTTGGCAATTTTGTTGCAGACGTTTCGTCACCAATCGAGGTGACATCATCAGTGTGTAGTTGAGTGACGTGCAGTGGCGTATAAAAGCTTCGGTGAGAGTGCGCTGAGCATGATGTCCGTGCTTGCATTTACACCACCGTGGTTACCTGTGGAAACGAGCAATCCTGTTGGTTGGGACTTCGATCCACGTTCAGCTTGCTTGCTGGGCAGATGACCTTTGACCTTGACCCTTTGTGTTTTGTGGCCCTTGTCTACTTGTGAGCGAGTCGGTCGTCAATCCTGGCTGGCTAGTCAAAGTTTCCACCGGATTCAATCCATCTAGTTTGCGGTCATCCGCCAGTAGTGTTGCGTATATTGCGTCCAGGTCGATGTGTCCATTGATTGAATTCGTTGTGGAGTAATAGGTTTCCAAAAACTCCGTCGTATGTTTTGTACTTCCATGTGCTAGGATTTTTAGATTCTCCAGATCGAAATGGTGATCTTCTTGATCTTCATGCGCAGAAACCAATGAGGGCGAATCATGTCTTCTGACGGCCGCCTTGTATTCGGTGATTCGTGTAAAAAGCTTTCTTCCAGTTTGTCCGACGTACTTTTTATCGCAGTCGTTGGATTTTATCTGGTAGTTAACTTGCATTATTTGGCTTGCTTGAACTTTTCTTTAGGTCTTGAGATCAATTTCCTTAGGATGGCACTTGGCTTGTGAGCCACAGGTTCCATGTGACTGCAGCAATCTTCCTGTTAGTTCGGAGACGTTCGTTGATGTAGGAAAACACTATCCGTTTATTTGCTTGCTAAGGTGACTGCTGTTGCTGTGACGTTTGTTTCTTTAAGCTTTTTCTGATGAAATTTCTCGGATAACCGTTGTTTCTAAACACTCGATATAGGTGATTTTCTTCCTGTTTCCGCGATTCCGCGGTGCGTCAGTTCGTTTCCGCTATTTTTAACAGGGTTTGTATGCAGCTCTTCTTGTGATTCATCACATGGTTGCTGTGGTAATTTAGTATCTGCTCGTTATGCGTTTTTTCCGATATACGCACGTTTGCAGAGATCCCTCTGTATTCCTAGTGACCAGTACATCCATAAATGGTAACTAATTATCTATCCTCCACCAATTCAATCGTCAAGTTGATACCCTCGAATGTGCTGTTGAGCAAATGGTGCATGGCCTATACTCTGTTCCGTTTTACGATGAAAAAGGTATCGTCCACATATCATATGCCGTATTGGTCTGATAGATGGCAGTGCAATGCGCTCCAATTTCTGCATTGTGGCTTCTGCAATGAGTCCTGAAATTGGAGATCCCATTGGTGCTCCTTTCAGTTGCTGGTACACTTGTGCATCGAAACGGAAATAAATGGTCATGCAAATGTTAAAGATTTCCCAAAAGCTTTCAGGTCGTATGGTTGTCCTTGAGCCTAGTCAATTCTCAAGTAGTTCCATCATGGTATCTTTGGCACTTTATTGAGCGATTGAAGGGAAAAGCGCGGTGACATCTAATGAAAGCACTATTTCATCGTCTTCTATTGTGACACCCCGCAGATTGTTGCGGAATCCTTCAGCACTGTTGATGCTATGTTCGGATCCAGCAATGACTTGTTTAAACCACAAATCCTTCGCTAGTTTATATGATGGGGTTCCCGTGAGCGAGACGATTGTTCGTAATGGGACTCCATCTTTGTGTGCTTTGGTAGTCCATAGAACAGTGCAATGTTTGTGACATCAGCTTTCATTCTCCATCTCTCCGTGGCGATGAGCTTATTCTTTATTTGTCGTTTCTTCAGCGTTGTCATGATCTGGTTGACCAGTTTTGAACTTGGATCTTGATCGATCTGGCGATATGTTGTTGTGTCGAATAGCAGTCCTTTGGCCTTGTTAATATACTCCGGTTTGTCCGTTACCACTGTCATGCGCCCTACGTCCGCTAGTTGGAGTACAATCTTCTCGTTTTTCTGTAGACGTCTGAGTGCATCCTATTTCCCTTGGCTAGGGTCTGGGGGTCTTTATTCCGAGTTAGCACTGGGACAACTGTCTGCTGTATCTTTTGCTGGGACTCAACCGACAATCCAATAGATTTCAATGCGTGTTTTAAGCTAGCCAAGTATTCTTTGGCGCAACCAACTTTAACGTTGAAATTGAGCCCCTTAACCAAGACATCGAATTCAGTTGCAGTGAGATGGCGGCGTAAAAGGCATTTGATCCATCCTTCACTGCTAGTGCCGTCATTTCGCTTAGTCCGTTTGACTTTGTTTTCCATGAAATCTTGCGTCGGTTCTTTCAGGCTTTTGACTCGACTTTCGGTTGCAAATTCCAGCGCTGTTCGTAGCTGTCGGCCAATAGTACGGAGGTAATTTTTTCTATTGTCGTGTTAATTGGTGCTGTCTATAGTTTAATGTACTGGTGAGACATGGCTTAGGGTTGACAATCGCAACGATAGCAAGCAATCAATAGTGCTGCTTGGGGCTCATTTGAGATGTGACTAACTCCCATGAGTCTGGTTTTGATTTTGATTGCAACCCTCTATGTTTAATCGATTTTCACTAACCATATAGACAAGTAAAGTCAGTTCTCGTTATCCTCAGCTTCAGTGGCGCTGGCGACTTCTACCGTACCGATGGTCTACTGTTGGAATATGAACGAGATTTCACCCACCAAGATACTTCCACTTCCCGTGGACGAATGTTGCCGGTTCCGAGAGAGCAATCATATCAACTTCCTTAGTATAGCTTTTGCGTTAAAGACTGTATTTGTAAATCCTGGCGTCGGTACATTGGATGACGCTATTTGACAAGGTCATGCAGTACTTTCGAAAACCGGGATGCATTGCAGCCTTATGGAGTTAGTCGCTTCGGCGCTGCGCTGTAGTATAGAAAGTGGGGGGAATGTCGTACTTTACTATACGAAGACTGCTGGCTCGTTTGTATAGTTTTATGTACTTGGCCTGAAACGCTTTGGCTTGGCGCTGTTGATCAGTAACTTTGCTTTTACGGATAGCTGAAGTAGATGGTTGTGGTGGATCAGGAATTTCACCCAAGTATCTGGGTCGGGGTTATCCTGTTTTTTATGTAATTCTTTATCCCCTTTATCAAGCATTTTCAAGTACTGCTCTTGCGAATTGACAGCAATTTTGTGGAGCGAAATGGATCTGACGTTCAAGTTGCCGTCTTTTAACCAACTCTGTCCAAACGCAGTCAACTGCATTGCTGTTCGGGAATCCTCAACGGGACGCCTCGACGAGTTATTTCAGATCGTGATTGCGTAGGATTGTATGAGCTAATTCCGTAATTTTGCTGGATAATCTGAATCGCGAACATAGCTAAATGTTATGCGAGCTGGACTCCAAATTGATATCTGATCGATTGTTGGTTCTTCATTCGTGAGCACAAGCTTTAGTGCGGAAGGTTTCTTTTCTGCCCAGAATCTTGTGGACGATGTGACATGGTTGTGGCGGAATGTAAAAAATAAGTTCATGCAGGTAGGTCTTGAACTATTCCTTGAGGGATGCCGATACCTCCAGACCGTGTGCACTGGAGTTCCAAGAAACGAGGATACTGACGTGCCTTGAGGTTGTTTCCCTGGGCAGAGCTGTTATCAAAAGATATATATTGCTGGAGTGGATACTTGTGGGCGTAAAACGACAGCTACGAGGGATGTGTCATTGAGCCTTAGTCGGAGAAGCCACCAGGTGTCGATGA